CAGCCTAGTCCAAAAATGGGCAGAAGACCTAAACAAACATTTCTCCAGTGAAGACATATGAATGGCCAATAAGCACTTGAAGAAATGCTCAATAGTGATAGTTATCAGAGAATTGTGAATCAAAACTATAATGAGGTATCACTTCACGCCAGTCAAAATGGCCATATTAAAAATTCCACAAACGATAAATGCTGGAGAGGGCGTGGAGAAAAGGGAACCCTCCTACACTGCTGGTGGGAATGTAATTTGGTGCAGCCATTATGAAAATCAGTATGGAGATTCCTTAAAAAACTGAAAATAGACTTACCATATAATCCAACAATCCCACTCCTGGGCATACAGCCGGAGGAAACTCTAATTTGAAAAGATGTATGAACCCCAATGTTCATAGCAGCACTATTTACAATAGCCAAGACATGGAAGGAACCTAAATGTCCATCAACAGACAAATGGATAAAGAAGTTGTGGTATATATATACAGTGGGTTACCACTCAGCCATAAGAAAGAATGAAATAATGCCATTTGCAGCAACATGGATGGGCCTGGAGATTGTCATACTAAATGAAGTAAGGCAGAAAGAGAAAGCAAAGTACCATATGATATTCCTTATATGTGGAACCTAAAAATAATGACACAAATGAACATATTTGCAAGACAGAAACAGAGTCACAGACATAGACTTATGGTTACCAGAGGGGTAAGGGTGGGGTGTGGAGGGATAAACTGGGAGTTTGGGATTTGCAGATACTAACTACTGTATATAAAATAGATAAACAAGGTCCTACTATATAGCAAGGGAACTATATTCAAGAAACCCTATAATAGCCTATAATGAAAAGAATATGAAAAGGACTGTGTGTGTGTGTGTGTGTGTGTGTGTGTGTGTGTGTGTATAGATATAGATATATATGTATATCTGTATCACTATGCTGTATACCGGAAATTAATACAACGTTGTAAAATGACTATACTTCAATTAAAAAAAAGAAAAAGTACAAAGGAAGACAAAAAAATAATGGTATCACTCCAAATTATCTTCTTGGCATCGCTTATATAAATTCGTATTTTACATAGTTTGAATCAGGGATGATATTTAAATTATTTAGCAACTGGTATGGCCTCAGAGAGATGCTAGTCCTTGTGCTGGAGTATCTTTTCAGAAGACCTCTGTTGTACCTGATACTATCCTGTTAGTGACTGGATCCTGGAGAGGAGTGACAGGGAGGGGCACACCCAGGGAAGTGGGTATTTTAACACCTGGTGTGGCCACATTGATATGCACCTGCTGAACTTCATCAGCCTGGTTGGAAATGGAATGAGTGTGAACCAAATAAAAAGGGCTTGGGAACAGCGTGAAGAAACAGCAGGAATCCGGCCCAGAAGAGAAAGTGCCTGGTCCATTTTGGAACTAAAACTAGCTCATCCTGGCCAAGCAAGAGAGTAGTGAGAAATGAGCTAGAAAGGGAGGCAGGAGCCCGATCCAGGTCACACCACAGCTTTTCTCTTCCTTCGGGGTTATTTCACTGGGGAACAGCTAGGCCTAGAGTGACCAGGACTAGGGGGTATCCCGGGACGCAGAACTTTCAGTGCTGAAACCAGGAGGGTTGGTCCTGCTAACTAGATCTCTTTTTGTGCCTGTTAGTAGTTCCAGACTGCTCTTTGGAAAGACCACACAACTGAAGCTAGAATCAGAGCAGGATTTTCCAAACCAACATGAAATCAGCTTTCACAATTTTTTATGGAAGTGCTGATATGGAAGATACTGGGTCTTGTTCGTGTTTAAGTTTGTATAAAGCTTGTGTTTCTAAATCAAGCTCCTTTCCCCACCTTGATCTCAAATTATGCTCTTGTCAACAAGAGACAAGTGAGCTTGACGTTCAAGAGCAGGGCTCTGGGGGCCAAAACACCTGGATTGGTATCTGGGTTGTGTCCCTTACTAGTTGTTGTCTTCTTGGGGGCCTCAGTTTCCTTGTCTGTAAAATGGGATTAAAATAATACCGGTCTCATAGAATGTTGTGGGGATGAAATGAATTATGGAGAATGCTTAGAATAGTGCCTGTACAGACAGAGCAGTCTGCAAGGGTGCACTAGTATTAAAAGTTACCTTCCCCTGGGTCAGGGCAAGTTTTTTCAGATAAAGTCATGGCCCCACCAGAGAGTGAGCAATACAAATTTGTCAGATAAGATAGGTTCAGAATTTTGTATTCTGTGGTCCAGATAGGCAACACAAAAAGTCATCATTCTAATATACTGGTAATGTTATTCTTGTTACTTTAAAGGTGAGGAAACTGAGTCTTCTAGAAGTTAAATGACTTGCCAAAGGCCTCACTGCTAAAACAGAGCCAGGATTGCAGAGCCCAGGTCTTTCGCACCAGCACCACCGACTTTTCAGTCCTCCTCTTAAGAATGATGGGCTGTACCATCAACAGATGATTGGTTTAAGAAGATGTGGTGTATACACACACACACACACACA